GCACAGCAGAAATTTGGGGGAGGGAATTTGGTGCCAAGAGATCTCTGCCTTCTTCTCCAAGTCTGGGATATTTTCTATGTGCAGATCAAATCTATGTGTAGATCAAAACAAGGGTTACTGGGAGTCAGAGCTAGACAATGCTGATCCCGTGTAACTTTTGTTGTAAGTACTGTGAATGGAAAGGCAAGTAATTCAAATTAGATATGCAAGCTATAAGATTCTTCTCTCTCAACCTAAGCAGCAGAAGGCTTGGGCACACATGCACACACACACACACACACACCCCTAGGGAAATGGATACTTGATCTTCATTCTCTTTTGCTGAAGACTTAAGGTCGCTTTACCCCATGTTCATTAATGCCAAAGGTATGTTCAACACCATTCACAAAGCAAATAGAAAACAATAAAGAAAATTGAAGAAAACCTTCTTCAACTCTTGTATTTTGCCCAGTGCTTGGCATCACAAATATGTTTGTAATCTCTGCTAGATGAGAAATAAACTCTAGAGTAGGTCACCAAAAAGTAAGGGGTGAAGTCGCAGTCACCTGAGACATCGCTAATTTACTGACTCGCTAACCTGCAGAAGTGAAGAAAGCAGAAGCACTGAGAACCTCTCACCACAGGATTGCTGTGAAGCTAGAACAGTGGAAATTTGTTTAAAACATCTCAAAGTTCATTTTAGAACAAATAAAAAGGAATACACCTTCAAGAATCAGGAGGTTTTGCAAAGAAATAGGAAGTGCAAAGAGACTCCTAAGCAACTGCAGCCTCCAGAGAGGGCTGGGACTCCCCCCTTCTCTGTCTCTGTCCCAATGTGTAGTCTTGCTTTCCTCATTTATCAGTGGTGGCTTCTAGTGATGGCATCCACCTGGTCCAGAGAGATTTTTGTGTGCACAACAGAGTACCACGTCTTACCCTCACGATACATTAGGTGCTGCTGGAAACAACAGGTCGTTCTTACCTGTGAGCTCATGTTCAGTCTGTGCTGGGCTTTGGACCCCAATAGAACATGATTGAACTGTAACTGGCATTATGGAGAATCAACAATGGAAAGAAGAACCAGGCATTCCATCCACATTGAAGGAAGTGAGTGTTTCTCTCCCTTGTGTGCTCTTAGGTTGCAGTTCTGGAAACCTCTTTGAAGAGGCTTGTGTGTCTCCTTCATGAAACCCTGTATGTTAGTGTCCAAGGGATCTCTGAGCATTACTTTGCCTGAAAACCTCAGGACTTTTGTCTTCAGCCAGCTGGCTTCCTGCCTTCTGAAACTTGAGCTGTGTATATTTTTTATGAAATTTGTAAATCAGGCTTATCCCCTATTTTCTGAACTGCAACAGCCATCAAACTTTGGAGAGTGACAGTGTGGATGTAGTACTTTGTGTATGTAGGAGAGTTTACCAGAGACCCCTTCTCTGTAATAACATGTCTCATTCCAAGGTGATTTGTCCCTCTGGACAATGCAAGTCAAACATTGTCAAGGATAAAATTCCTATTAAATGAATATGAATTTAAGTATTCTGCATGATAGCTCCTAGGCTTAGCATAGCCAAGTATTCTCCTCTTCAGTAAACATTTATTCAAAAATAGCCTTTGTGATATATTTTATGTCAATTTGAAAAATTATTCCCCTACCAGACGAGGACTGGGTTTTGCATATCCCCTCAAGGGTAAATAACTTTCCCATGGAAGTAGCAGGAAGTCTTCTCACTCTGACCTGCTGCTGATATCAGTCTGGGCCACAGTCTAACGCTTTATGGAACCCAGCTATTTTTCCTCTAGGTAGACCACAGAAAGATCCTTTGTGACTATGTTCCAGAAGGCTGTATTTAAAGCACCCCCTTTAGGGCCAGCCAAATAAATAGCTCAGTGGACAAACGTGCCTGCTTAGGCAGGCACAGGGACCGGGATTCAATCCCCAGAACATGGTGCCTTGCTGGTCCCACTCTTGAGACAGCAACTGAGGCGTATGCCTGTAATCCCAAGGCTTGGGAGGCTGAAAACAGGAGAATCCAATCTGTGGAGTGAGACTCTGTGAACCCTGTACTAAATACATAAAAATAATAAAAATAAAAGCATTCCCTTTAATTTCAGAATTTTCAAAGATGTAGGTTAAATATGTTCTCATATAAAGGTTTTTTGTTTGTTTGTTTGAATGTTGATTTGTTTTAATTTTATCTTCCATTCTCCTTTTGGCTGTAATACATGTTTTGGTCTTAAAAGGGAAAGAAGATTACCATTCAGTTATAAGATGTCTATAAAATTAATAGGAAAAAGCCTTAGAGTTTTTCACTAGTCTAAGTGAGATAAATAAAAATGTAAATATGAAATACTAGAAATTAGTAAGAAAGATTAAAAATCTGTAAGAGAAAATGGTAAAAATTTAAAGTAAAACCTAAGCATTATACGCTGTCGTTCTTAGGAAAATTTCAGTGTTTCAAATTTACTTTTTTTTTTTTTTTTTTTTTCTGAAGCAGGGACTTTTCCAAGTTATTCTAAAATTGTCATTAAATGGGAAGGGGTTTTTTTGTCTTTCTTTCTTTCTTTCTTTCTTTCTTTCTTTCTTTCTTTCTTTCTTTCTTCATTCTTTCAATACAGGGTCCTGCTATGCAGTTCAGACTCATAATGATCCTTCTGGCAGCCTCCCCAGCTCGGGGAATACAGGTGTACGCCACCACACTTGGTTCTGGGGCCAGCATGGTGCACCTGGCACCAGCACAGCATGCAGTACCAGGGATCAAACCAGATCCTTGCACTTGCCAGGCAGGAGCTTAAGCAGCTGAGGTATCTCCCCAGACCCTTAAGTGGTTTTTAACAAAGAAGAGCCTCTGAATATCTCCAGTCTTGATGACAATAGCATTCCATTATACCCTTAAAGAGAGAGAGAGAGAGAGAGAGAGAGAGAGAGAGAGAGAGAGAGAGAGACCCAGTCCTAGCCCAGGCCCTGTGAGTGTGTGGGAGAGATTCCGGCTACCCCGCACAGGCGGGACCTACTGGTGCCAGCCCAGGCGCAGCATGGGTGAGACCCTCTTCCACCCCGTTCAGACACCCCCAACCACTCCGCAGCACCTCTTCTACCCTGCCCGCCGAGTAGGAATTTTGGCCACATTCCGGGAACCCCCAGATCCAGTCCTATCCCAGGCCCGGTGAGTGTGTGGGAGAGCTTCCGGATACCCTGTGCTGGCGTGACCTACTGGTCCCAGCCCAGGCACAGTGTGGGTGACACCCTCTTTAACCCTGTTGGGATGCCACCCATCACTCCGTAGTACCCCCCCACACCCCACGCACAGAGTAGGAATTTCTGTTGTGTTACGTGAATACCCAGATCCAGTCCTAGTCTAGGCCAGGTGAGTGTGTGGGAGAGCTGCCTTTCCCTCCTACTCCACCTTGTCCCCTCCAGACTCAGCTCAGGCCTGGCATAGAGGCCTGAGGTGAAACCCTTCAGCTGCAATCCCTGCAGAAAGTGTAGGGGACAGAACCACCCAGCTAGTCTAGGGGCAGAACATCTTGCCAGAGGGGCACAACAGGTTCAATCCCAAGGGCAGCAGCAGGAAGGAGCTGAGCACAGACCAAAGCCAGGCACAGCTGGATAAATCCAAACTTTGTAGATCTGCACCTGAACTTCAGTACATGCTAAGGTTATAACTGCAACAAAGATCTACAACAAAGGTCAGAAGACAGTGTTACACAAAATGACAACAAGAAGGAGCAAAATGCAATCTCAGAACCCAAGCCCACCCACAACAAGTGCAGAGGATGCTAACACAGAACAAACTGGGAATCACACAGCTGAAAGCAATGAATCAATGGCTTCTGAAATAAAGAAACATCTGCAGAAAGGTATAGAGGAACTCAGATTGGAAATAGAAAAAGAAATCCCCGAATTAATAACATCTGCAGTAAAGAATCAAATGCAGAAACATATGGAGGAAACCCAATGCTCACCCAGAACAAGTGCAGAGGACACTAGCTCAGCTCAAATGTATGAATTAATAGCATCGATAGTAAATAATCAACAGCAGAAAGTCATACAGGAACTCAGAGCGGAATTCTTTTCTATTAGCTCAGCTCAAACATATGAATTAATAGCGTCTTTAGTAAATAAGCAACAGCAGAAAGTTATAGAGGAACTCAGAGCGGAATTCTTTTCTGAAATAAAGAATTCTCAGAACTCATAGCATCAGAAGTAAAGAATCAACTACAGAAACATAGGGAGGAAACCCAATCTGAAAAAAACACTGCAGTAAAAGAATTTATAACTGCTTCTAAAGAAGCCATTGATAAAAAAAAAATAGAGGAGATTAGAAAAATGATGGATTCCTTGATGAGCAACACAAGAAAGAAATAGATCTCATGAAGCAGAGTCAAAGAGATACAGAGGAAATTAAAATCTCAATCACAAAAAAAAGTCTATTTCAGGGCTATCTTTGACTGGTTTGTCTTTATGGGAATGGGTCAATTCTGTTCTTTTGTGGGACATGTGCAAAAATAATGCCAACAGACATTCATATATTCCTGCTCAGTTCCCCTCCCTTTGCAGATACAGTTTGTATAGCTAGGTAGGGGACACACATAAGCAGAACGACCCAAGTTCCTTCCCTGCCCTGTTCTTTAAAGCATTCTGTGCCATCTACCTCTTGTCCCTGGGGGTTGTTGGTCCTGTGTTCCTGATGAAGGCTGCAATTTGCAAAGAGATTGGATCTCTGAGTCCCTCCTTGGAACACAACAAGTCAGGCAAGCTGCCCAGCAGTTTTCAGCCCCTGGCATGAGCAAAAAATAACCGTCTCCTGCGTTTTAAAGACTTGACAAAGACTGGCAGATAAAAAATGCTAGATCTCTGTGCTCCTGCATTAGCAATCGATTCCCGCCTCACTTCATTCTTAAAACAGGAATTGAAAATTCGACTAAAAATGAACACTTGAGAAACCAAAATATATTTTGAAGCAAAGTAAATGAATCGTTGTTACATGACTACACAACTGATACTGTCCACTTTCCTTTCTTAGGTTTTCCAGGGCAATTTTGACAATGACACCCACAGGAAAAACGTCATTGACCCTCCCATCTATGCACGGCACATCCGAATCCTTCCGTGGTCCTGGTACGGGAGGATCACGCTGCGGGCGGAGCTGCTGGGCTGCACGGAGGAGGAATGAGAAAGCCACATGCTCCACGAGCCTTTTCTTTAACCCCTACAAGTATCTCCATGGAAGGAACTGTGAAATTCTGTAGGAAACTGGATGGGATATTTTTTTTTTTTTTAATGAAAAAGTGCTCAAATTATGGTAGGCCACTAACTGTCTTTTTAAGGAGGTCTAAGCTTGCCTTTTCAGTGATTTGATTTCTAGGGTTCAACTCTCTTCAGTAACATCACATTAACTGTGAATTACTTTTTTCATTGTTTTCTGGATTATTTACATTGGTTGAAATACCTGAGCAAAAGAAAGTAGCCTTCTTTTTATAGCAAAGGTTAAAAAATCCTCATAGTTATCAAATAAAAGAATAAGAGTTGATAGAGCTTTTAAAAATGATGCTCAAATCTTACGAAAATACTACAATGTTAGCAATAAGTTTTTTTTAATGACTTCGCATTCTTGTTTCCCTGTGCCTAACACTCAATGTTTATGAGAGAACTTTGAAGAACACTCTGTAATATGCAGTACTAATTAATATTATAATTTTCATCTTACTTTCATTATGCTAATTGGAGCTTGTATCACCTTTTCCCTTTCACCCAAGTCTGCCCTCTTCTCTTTGCTTATTGCCTGAATGAGTCAGTATTTTTCCAACTGAAGTTTTTCCTATTCTTTGCCTAAGGGAAGTGTTGTCTTCAATTATATCTCTAGAATACGACTGAATATCAGTCAACTGATCCATACTTAATATCAATTAAATGTTTTATTTTAAAGAACAGTGCAACTATGTCATTCCCAAGTATTTCCCTTTTGAAGAATTCCTTATTGTCATTTCACTGGGAGGAACAACAAAAAGTATTTTGTCCCTTTACTTTTAAGTCTTTGTTTTGATAGTCTTACTTAGCCTTATATTTATTTTGAAACAGTAGAATCAGGAATTCTTTGTCTCTTTCAAAAACATCTTGCAAACAAAAAATGACACAGGGCTACACCTCCCAGACAAGCATACTCATCTTCCCAGGTTTCCTATGAGCCAAACTTCTGTAGTATTTGAAACTGGTGGTTGTTTCCCAGGAAAGCACCTTGTGTAACTATTCGTAATAAGCAAAGTATTTCCTAATGACAACGTTATAAACCATTCTCAAGACGAACATTGATTTCTATTTATTTTGCCTCAAAGGTCCTAAAAAGATAAGCAATTATCATAACAATTCGTCACTGATAATGGAGGTTTCATTGACATGCCTCTCAAATTAAAGCTCACCCTGCCCCCATAAAAGTCCTCAGCCTCTAATTTATAAGCTTTACAAGTATTTATTTTACAAGGCTTAGACAGAGAATTATTGGAATTTTAAATTAAAGGTCCTGGAAGAGAAAGGATGGTATGTGTACGAAATGTTAAGGTCCTGACAAACGCAGATAAGTGTTTTTCGTTAATACTTGTGCTGCATCACAGAAGCCACTAGACTGTTAATGTCCTGTTTGTCTTGTGTTACCACCATTTCTCAGTGATGTATATATATGTGCAGGGGTCTTCAAGCATAGTGAAGAACTGAAAGAGAAAGCCAACCACACTGACGTTGTCAGTAAGGGCAAACTAACTGATCTGAGGAGACTGACTGGCCATGCGAGTTCCAACCTCACATGTTTTCTACTTCAGCTTCTTCTAATAACATTGTGGACTTTAAGCCCCTGTTCAGTTTTCAACATCTTTCAGAGACAAATTGCTATGTCTTCAGAATTATCTTTTGTAGTAAACTTTAAAGTTGGGAATGCAAAAATATTTTTAAGTGAATACATTTTTTAAGTGACTACATTTTAACTTATGTTATACATAATTACTAAGATTCAAAAATATCCACACACTAACAGTATAGCCATTGATTCTTACTTCTTTGGAGTTTATAAATTTCTGAATGTTTTTCTTTCTGCATTATGCAAGATTATTATTTTAAGATTATATTTTAAATATTATGAATTGCACTTTCTGATAATTTACATTTCCAAGTTTATTCATGGCTTTGTGTAGTGCTTTGAATTTTTATATCAATAGCTATTAAAAAGGAGTTGGTTAAAATTATATGTTACTTTTGGAAAGACACTGAAATTACTTTCATTTTCTTGTACAATTATTCTCTGTTTTATTTGCTCTCCACAACACAGTGTGTCCAATGGAATATTTGTCTCCTGATGCACAAAATAGATGACAGCAAAGAGACTCCCACATGTAGAAATATTCATAATTACTGTGAAACAAACATTGTGTCGCTGACATTAAAGTGAAGCAAATTTATTTTCTTCTAATTCTCACAAAAATAAATCTTATAAGCAGAAAACAAGAATTACCTAACTTTCAGTATATTAACTCATGTGTTAATTTTATCATTTATGAAACTAGGCACTCATCTTTACGTTATCTGCATCCCACTGAGAGCATTTATCAGGCACTCATAGCACTTAAGGTTCACTTCTTTCTAAATGACATCATAAAGATTGGTGTGAATGTTGCGTACTTGGGGTACTAATGACTTCATCTTTGCTCGTCAGCAAACTAGGAAATGTAAGACTGAATGAATGTTGGTTTCTGAGGGGTCAGTGAGCTCAGAAATAACTGCGACACAATAACCTTTCCAATTTTCAAGCTGTGTATTATCCTGATGTTGTTTTAGTTTTCTTTGTATATATACTTAAGTCATGTAGGATGTTGTAAAATCAGTATGACCTTGTCTAGTCTTTAAACTTAAAATAAACTTTTCAAAATCTGGGGTACTATTCAAGCAGTTGTCATTAAATTATAATATGTTTATAAGAAGAGACAAATTGTGAATGCCCACAACACCTAGACAGCAACAAGGGAGAATTGAAATTAGAGAATCCTTCACACATGTAACAAAATGAGCTACATGAGTCACTTCAAGATCATTAAAATGTCTGCTTTCCTTGTGTTCCTTTTATTTGTAGAAATTTTGTGACTCAGGGCTGGGGAGATGGCTCAGTAGAGTAAGTGCTTGCCTGGCAAGCACAAGGGCCTGAGTTCAATCCCTGGTTCCGCCAAGAGAAAGAAAAATGAGAAGCAATTTTGTGACTCACAATCGAAGTCACTTTCTTGCCTCCTGTGTACTTAAACTGCTGTGTTCCACACCCACCGCCCGCCATTAGTCAGAGCACGGTGCCTTGCTTCTGTTGTTTTCCTGAGCTCAGGAGCATCATGAAGTAAGCCAGTCCACAGTGAGCAGTAACATGATGCCTGTAATGTATTTTCTGAGTCAGTTCAGCTGTGAAATCAGAGCACTAAGCTTCTTCATAAACCCTCCTTCTGGCTCTCAGGAAGTCACTAGGGAAATACCAATCAAGTGGACTTCCCACTTTTTTGTATTTTCTTAGATCCAAACATTTGAGAAAAATTAAGATATTAAATGTTGACTTTCCAGCACCACAGGGACTCTCTTACAGCCCTTAGTACTAACTTATACTATACATGTCCATGTGCTTGTACATGGCTTTATGAAAGTACATATTAGCGCGAGTGGTGCGGGGAGATCCACCTTCTCCTCGCCGTTTCACACACACATACACAGGTTTCTGGTAAGTAGGTGTAGCTCTGTGCATAACAGTTCTCGTAAGGCCAGCAGAGAATCACAGCAGTGCCTCTACAGGACAAAACTCACTGTTGAGATCAGAAATTATTCAAAACAAAATTTACAACTACTGGGCTTTTTCAAATGACTGACTCAAGATGCAAAACTCAAGGTAGCCTTTAGAATTCCAAGGAGAAAACCTGGCCAGGTTGGAAACTGTTTTTAAAATGTGAAAATGACTTCATGAGTGAAAAATATCTTCTACAAATAAAATTAAAATTAGACATGTCGAACACTGTCTCTCTGAATACACGCGTTGAAGATTTTGGTAAAGACGCATCCACTTTTCCTATGAAAAATACAGTGATTTCTGTCTTACTTTCCAAAGAATAGGTTTTCAAGAAATTGATAGTCAAGCAAGTGTATATGTTTGCTTCTCAAAAAAATATTGCTTCTAGCCTTTGAGATTCAAAAGGGCCTTTTTTCCCCCCTGTATTTTAGGGAAGAGTCTACAGGGTGTTCAGGGTCTCACTACTAGATCGGACTTGTAGTGATCCGCCTGTTTACAGCCTCCCAAGAGCTGGGATTATAGGCGCACACCACCAAGCCCAATCTCAATTGCCCTGTCTCAGTGTGCCCCAGGGGCAGGCCCGGGGATAAACCCCTGACCTGTGTGCCTCCTTGCAGGCACTTTAATCTGCTGAACTATTTGGCCAGCTCTTCAAAAGGACCCTTTTATCTGAATAGATGAAGCAGAATCCTCCTACTTTGGCAGTGGGTAAATGTCTCACCTCTCAGGAACCAAAGAACATTGGGATGTTTGCCTTTATAAAGGTGAAAAATGCCCAGAATAAGTTGCAATTCTCCTCTTGAGTTTGAAACAGGAAACAAGATTCCCTAATTACAGTAAATACCTATACTGCATAAGAATATTTCAACGCTGCTGCTGAAGAAACCGCTTTCCACAATAGGCAAGAGGCATCCATCCAAAGAGTTATTTCTGTTCGCTGAACTTGAGGAGGCAACATTCTTGGGAAACATCTATTCAGTTCTTGTACAATGTGGCAGAAATCGAATGTGTCATGTGAAGACAGCATTGCTGTGCAGATACAGTGTAGCAGCACCCGAAAGCAGTCGCCATAGCCAGTGGTTAAACACTGAGTATGTTGACTGATTCTGATTTAATTTTATGTTCACATCCCCAAAAGGATCAGGCATACACTTCTGTATTTATGGAGTCTGTAGAGTGCCTTCACATGCCCACATACCAACGTGTTGATAAAAGTGATGAATAGCAACATAAGCTCTCTCCGCTACCACCCAGAAGTGAGAGGCGACAGTGAGGCTGAGGATGTCTTCCAACAAGGAGTCCACCGTGACCAGTGTGCAAGCAGTGCTGTCATCGTTTGTAGCACAAGGCCACGGCACTGCTGGGAATTAACAGGGAGCAGACTGTGTGACAGACGAGGACAGGAGAGACTGCATGGCCGACAGCCAAGAGGAAAACCCACACCTCCGTGCACACTGTGTCGCTCCTCCTCTTAGTGACATAGCAGCAAAGGCAAAGAGACAGTAGCTGAAAGTCTTCACTTTTCAGAGCAGTCGGAGCAGAGCACGGCTCTGGGAATGTGTCCCGCAAAGCGAAGTGCAGCTTCCGCCTCGGCCCAGGAGGAGCACGAGCCAAGGGCTTAGACGGGCCGGAGCACAGAAGAAGCGCAGAATTATCAACAGGCAGGGCTCTTCGTTAACATATGTTTCACAAGCACATGTTGTATTTTGGCAGCAGAGATAGCTCTATAATAAACCCGATTTTAGTTATTTAAATAGCTTGGTAAGGTACTTAGGGTGTGTGGACTTAGACTTCTTGAGCCGTGTTTAAATAGTATTAAAATAATGCATTTAAAACTGTTGATGGAAATGAAGTAGAGACAGGACTAGGCTGTTGTTGTGTTGTTGAGGTTTTTTGTTTTTGTTTTCAATTAAATACACAAGGACAGGAGCTGGGAGATGGCTCAGTGGAATAAGTGCTTCCCTGGCAAGCACAAGGGCCTGAGTTCAATCCCCGGTTCTGCCAAAAAAGTAAAAAATAAAAAATA